CATATTTAAATTTTCAACTAAAATTTTACGAACACTTTCTCTATCAATATTTACCATCTCTGCTACAGCTCTAACACTTAATCGACGATCTTGCCGAATAATGTTATCGATTTTTTCAACGTTTTCGTTTGTTGAAGACGTGGTAGGACGTCCAGAACGATCATCGTCTTCGACGTCCTCCCTTCCACTACAAAACCGTTTGTGCCATTCAAAAACACGAGCTCTTGATAAACATTCTTCACCATAAACTTCACATAACATACGAAACGATTCCGTGGCAGTTTTTTTTAATTTAACAAGAAATTTAATGTTAACACGTTGTTCGATTTTTATATCTAACATTTTTCGGCAGTATGGTCGAACTCGCACTAATAACAAGGCTACTAACGTATAAGAAAATGAATCGATGTCATCAGTGTTCATAGTACTTTTAGATAACTGTTTTCTAATCATATTTTAATAATCGTTTTATAGATAACGTTAATAGTTTAAGTTATATTTAGAAAGTCTCGTTATTTTATTGTCACACCTCGTAAGGGCCGTTTCACATGTGTGAACTTAATTAATGTAAACTAAAAACGATGAGTCGCGTATGATACACGCCCATGTGAAACGCACCAAACTCATAAACTAWTTGTCTGAAATTTGATTTTTATTTATCGAAATACTCCGAAAAATAATCTGCTTCGGAATTTGAAATTAAATTATATAATATAAGTAATATTATTTTATTGATTTCCTAAATTGTTATTATTATTATTATTTATTATTATAGGCAAATTCTCTAACAAATAAGCAGACTAGAAAAATTAATTCTTTTTTTTACCTGAGTCAAAAAAACTAAAGTCAACCAGACTTGAAAATACCGAGCTCAATACAAATAATAGTCAAAATGTTAGTGATAAGATTCCCGTTCAAATAATTCAAAAGGAAATAATTTGTAGATCGACCGATATAGGAGAGATTATCAATAAAAAAAGTCATTGTGTAAATACGGTTTCAGATATTTGGGTACCTGACGATAGTTATGTCTTTCCTAGTAGTGGTAAGAGAAATTTAAAATTTCAACGGTGTTGTTTTAAACGATGGAATTGGTTGGCATATTCTGAAAAAGATGACGGAGCGTACTGTAAATATTGTGTTTTGTTTGCTGGAGAGGGTGGAGGTGTTGGTAAACAAACTTTTGGCAATTTGGTAAAGAAACCATTTAAAAACTGGAAAGATGTTATAGAAGTATTTAATAATCATACAAATTGTGAATATCACAAAACTTGTATTCTAAAAGGAACATGTGCCAAACAAATTTTAGAAAAAAAAGTCGAACCTATAGAYATCCAAATAGATTCAGGAATAAAACTTATAATAATTGAAAATAGAAAAAATCTTATTCCTATCATTGAAACTATCATTTTTTGTGGCAGACAAAATCTTTCTTTAAGAGGTCATAGAGATAGTGGCCCCTTGAATTTAACAGAGCCTAATGAAAATGATGGAAATTTTCGTTCATTGTTGAGATTTCGTGCTAATAGTGGTGATGTAGCATTAAAAACGCACTTAGAAACCTGTTCTAAAAATGCTTCCTATACAAGTCCAATGATTGCTAATGAAATAATTTCAACGTGTGGGGACATTATTTTAAAAAAAATAGTCAATAAAATTAATGAAGCAAAATGTTTTTCGATATTAGCAGATGAAACATCTGATATTTCTGGTATCGAACAATTTTCTTTGTGTGCGAGGTATTATAATAATGGTCAAATTAATGAAGATTTCCTACTGTTTGTTCCGGTAACTGATGTCTCGGGTAAAGGCCTTGCTAGTACACTGTTAACTTCGCTTGATTTGATTGGGATAGATTACAATTACATGATTGGCCAATGGCCATGATGGTGCTGCCGCAATGAGTGGTGTATTTCATGGTGCCCACGTTTATGTCCAAGAAAAATGTCCACTARCAATATACGTACATTGTGCATCTCATAGTCTGAATCTTGCTATTTCTGATGCATGTAATATTACTTCAATAAGAAACTGTTTAGGAAGTGTTGAGTCAATTTATAATTTTTTTAACTCGCCAAAAAGACAAAATATTTTAACTACATCTATTCAAAATATTGTACCTATTTCATCTCATAAAAAATTAAAACAATATGTCCAACACGTTGGGTGCAGCACCATGACTCGGTAATTTACCTAGAGTTACAAAATGTTGTGATTGATGCTCTAGAAAAAATAAGCAGTTGGYCCGATAAAAATACATCTTCATCAGCAAATCAATTGCATTTTGTGATTAATAACTTTGAATTCCAGATTACTATACRCATAATATCAACAGTATTTGCTGTTAGTTTACCACTAAGTAAACTTTTACAAACACCTGGATTTGATTTATCTCATGTTATTAATATGGCTGATAATTCTATAAATGTTTTAAAAGAAATGAGATAAAATGTTGAAAAAGATTTTAAATTAATATTTGAAAGAGCAGAAATATTTTGTAAGAATTCCAATATCAACATTTCTTTGCCTCGTCGTGTTGGTAAACAAGTACATCGAGATAATACAGCTGTTACTACGCTTAAGGAATATTACAGAATGACAATATTTATTCGATATTTAGATAATTTTATAACAATGATAAGTGATCGTTTATTAAAACATAAATCTTTGTTGAAGAGCTTTAATWGTTTGTTTCCGATTAAAGAGAAAGACAATTCAGATACTTTTGAAAATGACGTAACAGATTTAGTAAAAAAATATTCAAAATTATTACCATCTTTTTCTCCTTTAGTAGTTATTGCAGAACTTAAATTATGGCGGACTTCTCTACAAAATTTGTCTAAAATTCCATCTAATTTATCAGAGTTACTTAATAATTGTAATGAAAATGACTATCCAAATGTCTATAAACTGTTAAAAATCGTGGCAACTTTACCCATTACAACAGCTACTGCAGAAAGGTCATTTTCGACAATGCGACGATTGAAAACTTATCTCAGAAATACCATGGCAGAGAACCGTTTAAATGGATTAGCTCAACTGAATATTCACAGGAYAATTGAAGTTAATCCAGAAGTAGTGTTGGATGAATTGGCAAAAAGAAAAAGAAAAATTGATTTAGTATTGTAAATTGTAGTTACATTGTATTGTAGGTGATAACTATTTTAACCCTGACATTCGGACATTAAGTATATTATTATGCATTTTATTACCAATGTTTAATAAGTTGTATTTGTTTAAAAYTAATAAATTGATGAATTTRATTTTTACGATATATGTTATATTTTTACAATAAAATAAATATCCGATACCATGAAGTAAAGTATGGTAAGTTTAAATTTGCTGAACCCCCCCATAAAAAGTTCCTGGCTACGCCACTGGCAGACTATATTTTTTTTTATACGCGCCACTGCATCTGAAAACTCATTTTCATTCTAAATAGGTTATATTGTCGTTGATTCTCGTATRTATTAATTTTACATGTGTTTTGCGTGTTTTAACAGTATAAAGTGGATATGATTAGAGAAAATGGCGAAAGTGGTGGCGAATACCCATTGCATATATTCTTTGGGTGGACCAATAGTGTTTGCGCCGGGATAGTTCTTACAAATTTATTAGCAGTTGACATATAATACCCGTTTAAATAATATGATTATACAATATAAAAAGAAAAAAGTATATTTTTTTTTGACAAAAACGATTTGGTGTATTTTAATGAATAAAATGTTTAATTCTCCAGTTTTCTAACAAAATCACACTTTTGATAAAATTCATGACTAACAAAATAATCTAAATTTTTTTAAGGATGCCTATACATTATTTGGATCTATATAGCTATTTATAAAAACCTCTTCTGAGTATGCTGTATTCTTAAGGGATATGGATCAAGATGTAATTTTTTTCAGTTTATAGAGCCTTTAATACAGACTATAGACGATGTTTTATTATTGAATTCACATTCTAAAGTCCTGGGACTCGATACACTATACAGTTTATACAGCAGAGTGAATTCTTCGGTTATGTCTTTTGTATGTCCCGTTTACTCACATTAGAGCTTTCTGAATTCTGAACTTATTTATTGATGAAGTAGTGCACATCCCAAAAAAAATATAATCAATATAATATATACATAGTCATATATTATATAAAGGTTGATTCAAAATTTATTTTACAGCCATTTTATCATATAAATATTCAAAATAATGAAAAATGTATGTTACAAAAGTTTTTTTATTTAAAAACAATTTAATAAATGTTTAAAAAAATTTTAGAGGGGTTTTGAGAGGTCAACTTTAAAAATTCAAATGGAAGCCTATACTTTTTTTGCAAGCATAATGTAAAGGATTTTTTTAAATATATTTTAGTGAATGAACAACATTAATTAATGCAAAACTCTATGCTTGAGAGCTATTCAAAATTTTTAGAAATTGCATTTTCAATTTTTAATCACGCAACGCGCGCTGACAGGTAGCTAAAATCACAGAACAAACAGAAGGGAATCATATTTCATTTAACATAGGCTCTTATGGCCCCCATAAGTTATGGGAGATGATAAAACTACGTCCGACAGGGTCGTTATAAATACAGTCGATTACAGCACCAAAGTGTTATCATTTTTATTTTATCAGTGTTATCACAATAATATGATAGTGTCACCAACATTAATATAATACTATAATTATAATTATAATCTTAGTTCTCAGTGGTTCTAATTCGTTAATTAACTCAATTAAGTATAATAAAA